AAAAAAAAAAAAAAAAAAAAAAAATTATTACTCATCATTTGCACCGCTGGTAGGGTCAGCAGTCAAACAAGGTACCGTTGGCACCTGACCCCGATGCTGGCACGTCCGACAAACAGCCAGCCTAAGTGATCGGCACCGTTTACAAATATGTACCCGCGTGCTGACGCTACGTGATTGACTTGTAAAGTGATTGTGAACTATTGTGCTTATACTTGCCCACAGTTCATAGCCCAATGTTGCGTTGACATTACGGTAATCGGGAGAGTTTTAAAAACGGCCGGTTTAATAGGCTTTTGTAATTGATCTAAGTAATGAAATAGTAGATACTGGCCCAATCCGCTGTGGGAGAGCCATAAACAAGAATTAGAATAGAATTATGGAATAGTACTTCTGGAGGAGTACTTTATTCAGTGAATTTAATGAAACCACACAAAATTATCTATTGTTTAGAGTATTATTTATGGCTAAGTTACTGATATGTATTAAGCAATAGTTTCATAACATATTCAATTTGCGAGACTTTACAATTGGGTATTAAACAAGAGTAAGCCACTAAATGCATTGTTAAGCGATTGACGCAGTCGGGCAATTAATGCCCGTCTACTGAATGATAGGAATTGTGACTGCAATTAGTGTAGTTGCAACTTTATGTACCTGACAGACATAAGTTAACTTAATTAACATGGACCGTAGTAGTCGATACGTTTCCTACGATAGAAAGAAAATCGTAACTTAGTATTTTGCGACAATATTAGATTAAGACTTAACAGCTTTAATCTAGATTTCACGACTTACTTTAGTGCGTCGAGATTAATAATTTGTGTATGTAAAATAATAGATTTAGAAACCCACAAAATAGATTAACTGGCATAGAAATGTAACTTTGTATTTTACGGAAACGTAAACACTTCAGCTACTAAATAAATGACATATGGATCAGCTTTTGCCCGCGACTTTGTCAAAGTCGAAATAAAAAAAAGCAAAAAGCCTTTATGTTTTTCTGAACTACAGCTTTGCCAAATTATCGACGTCAGTTCAGTCGTTTAGGCGGTAAACTCTAACAACATCCATATAAACTTTCGCATTTATAATATTGGTTACATTTAAAATGTATCATTTACATATTGCTGATAGAAATGAAAAGTATTCAATTTATGTAATGTAAATTCAAATGATAAACTACTATTTTTAATATCACAAACACGGATTCAAGACACTTTATAACCATGTTGAACAACATCATGATAATTACAGTCAAGCATTGATCTTTGAACTTGTGATGTTGAGACGAGCCTCGTGTACTATAAAGAGGCTCGATTCACGAGAAAAGGATGGTTTACACGAGGAATTAAACGAGGATGACACTTGCGACCACAGATAATATCAAAGTTCTTTTCCAGGAAACCTTAAAGTGTTACGTACATAGTTCTTTTATGACGCATATTATTTTGCGTGTAACCTGACAAAAAACTGTTACGCTGACCCTACGGGAGTACGTTAGAGGAGGAGGATGATGGTGATGATGGTTATTATCTTATTTTTAAAGGTATTGTGTCAACGTCTGATTATTATT